GCTCTGCCCACATGAGTTAAAGGGCAGCTAGTGGGCATGCCTGTGTGGTCCTTCCCAGCTCTTTGGGAGAGACTCCCTTTGTTTCCAATATTGGGGTTACCTCATGTTCCTCAGCTCCTCTGCTGTTTTATCTTTGTCTGCTCTACATTTATTAATCATTTCCTGCATTATGGATACAATATGTGTTGTGATCCGAGAAAATAGTTCTGATTTCTTGATTTCCAGATCCTCTTCCTTTGCCAGTTCAAGGAGTCTCTTTGCCCTTTGCTATTGCATTAGATGATCTGGAAGTCTGGTTTTGAGATTTCTTTACGTGTGTTCTCATTTCAACAGATGCAGCCTGCTGTGCCTTTGTTGCAGTGACTTCTTTCTCACCCGGTGGTCTTGAATTCTGAGCAAGCCACTGAGCAGCCTTTACTCTGCTGCTCACAATTGTGCTAACTCTTGGGTTCAGATGGTTGGCCTTCTGGATACCTGAGCTGACCTGTTGTGTGGGTGGGCTTCAGGTTGGGGCCTGTGCACACTTGGGATGGTATCTAGGTGTGCTTCTGGCTTGAGCGTGCCCACCTATGTAGCTGTTGTCTGGGAGGGCCTTTGGCTGGGTGCTGTGCACCCCAGTTCTCCGTGTCTGAGCAGGCTTTGGGTTAGGCTCTCTGCACACTTACCAACGATATAGGGGCTATTGCTGCGCCTTTGCAGCTCTTTTTTGGCTAAGTCTTTGGCTTGGGCCTGTGTGCCCAAGTGGCTGGGGTTTGCATGGGGCCCTTGCTCTATCTGCCTGCTGGTGTACTATTCTGGTCCACATCACTGCTCCTGAGATCTGCACACACACACACTAATCCACATTTTATTATCCAGTCTCCAGTTGATAAGCAATTGGGCTGTTTCCAAATTTTGTGATGCTATGAACTTGCTTGACCTTCTAGAGCTGTGCTATGATTTTTTTAATTCTTTTGGAAAGATACCCAGCAAAACCTCAGTTGCAGGGGAACTAGAACAAAATTGTAAACAATTGGGATCTCACCTTATTAAGAAGCTTCTCCACAGCAAGAGAAACCAACAGCAGACTGAATGGACAACACACAGTTTTTGAAAACAAATTGACCAGAGATTCCTCCAAGGAATACTATCTAGAATACATAAAGAACTTCAAAAATCAGACCCCTCGGTAAATGGAAAGACCTCATCCAAAAATGGGCTTCTGAAATGAATAGACATTTGTCAGATGATGATGTAGAAGCAGTCCAGAAGCATTTGAAAAGATGTTCAATGTGTCTGCTCATTGGAGAGATGAAAATGAAATCAACATTGTAACTCCATCTTCTGGAGAAATTATAGCTGCTACCAAGAAATTAACCAATAACAAATGCTGGTGGAGATATGGCAAAAAAAGTATTGCTGGGAATGTAGACTGATGCAAACACTGTGGAAATCAGTATGGGGATTCCTCAAAATACTGGGATTAGAAGTCCCATTTGACCCAGTCATTCCCCTTCTTGTGTATTTTTTCAAAAGGATTAAAGTATCATACCACAGTCATATAAGCACACCCATGTTGACAGCGACACAGTTTGTAATAGCTAACAAATGGACATCAAGTGGGTATTGGGTAAAGAACATATGGGGTCCTTCTATGAAGTGGAGTACTACTCAGCTACAAGGAAAATTAAATTAGAGACATCTATACCTAAATGTATGCACCTTGAGGCCATACCCTTCAGTGAAATAAACAGGACACATATGTGTAAATACCAACTACTTTCTGTGGTGTGAGAAACTGCAAGTGTCATAGAAGACCCAAATGCATAATGGCTAATGTGAAATAGGAAGAAAATGTTCAAAGGGAAAGGGGAACTTGGAAGGCCGGTGAGGGAAATGAAAGAAGGAAAAGAAAAATCTGACAAGAGGGATAAAGTGGAAACAAAGCTTATGTATGTAGGGAGGGGTGCAGGGGGTGAAGGGAGGGCAGAGGAATGGGATAAAGAAGAAGCGAGATTCATCCTGTACGAGTACTACTTCCCAATGATGAATGTGATCCTAATGAATCCCTAAAATGCCCCAATTACCTGAGTAAATATTTTGTAAAAAGAAAGAATGGGGTCCAGGGATTTAGCTCAGTGGTTCTGCCACCTGAGTCTCAAGCATATGGTTCCAAGTTTGATACCAGATTAAAAAAAAGACAGGAGAAAGAGGGTATGGACAGTAGAATCCACCAATGTGAGGGCAGTATATCAGATTTAGAAGACAGGTCTGCGGTTGTGAAGAAAACTAATGAGAAATAACTTTCCAAAGACCAGGCAACGTGAAAAATGGAACCAGCAACTGCCACACGATACAAAGAAGACTAATCTAACATTAATGGTAAATAAGGAAAAATCAGAAGATAGCAAGCACAAAGGATAAAATAAACCCATTCACAGAAATAATAACAGAAAACTTTCCAAGAATGAAAAAAGAATTCGAAATACACTTACATGATGCATAAATGTATTCAAATACACATCATCAGAAAAGTGCCACGACAAGGCAGAGCATGCTCAAGTTCCAGAAATTCACCATGAGAGCAGAGTCTTAAAAGCTATTAGAGAAAAGAAACAAATCATCTGTGAAGGAGAACTCATCATAATTACAGCGGGCTTCTAAATACAAACCCTAAATTCGAGGAGCACCTGGAGTGAAGTGTTTCAGGCCAAAAAAGAAAAAAATGAAAAACCAAAAAAAGGAAAACCTCAACCCAGGCTGACCTACCCCACAAAATTATCTTTCCAAATTGATGTTGAAATAAGATGGTGTCATGACAAAGACCACCTAAAGTAATTCATAACCAACAGGCTAGTAGGCCAAAATATTCCCCAGGATATCCTAGAAAAAGACAATGGAGCAAACAAGGCCAAAAAGCCCAACAGAACGAATCCATCAGGTGAAACCAACAATTCAATACAAGGGAAAGAAAGGGAACAAACAACATGAAAATGATACACTGGCAGAGAAAAGTCAATACATACAAGCTATAAGAGTCAAGGTGAGAGGTCTTAATTCACCAATCCAAAGACACAGAGAGCAGAATAGGCCAAGACACAAAACCCAACCCCATGCTTTATAGGAGAACCACATTTAACCCCCTACACTAAGTTCGGAGACCAAAAGTCAAGGGGTTGAATATAGTACGGAAAGGACAGCAGGGACCACTGAGTGGGCGTGGTGTTGGGACAGTGTGGAGGAAAGGCCGTCTCCGTGGAAAGCGACCACTAGCAGGGGAGCATAGGCAGATAAAAGGGGGTGGAGAACAGAATGGGAACGCTTTGGAGGGCTGTGAAGTAAATTCCCCCTTTTCTAACCAGAGCATGTTGGAGCCTCCCTCACCCACGGACCCATCCAGATAGTGTTCTGTGACATCACAGCACCTCTGCCCACCCAGGGCTTTGATTGGCTGTTGACTTGCTGACAAAAGAAAGCCCAAGGGTGTGGCCACTTCAGGGACAGGTATAGAAGGGAGGCTTCAGGCCCACACGGGGCAGACCGCTGTGAGGAGCTCCCAGGAGAAGCAGGGCCAGGTAGCCAGCAGGGCAGAGCACAGGACCTAGGACCAGGCTGAGAAAGAAGAGAAGAGCAATTTCAGTGCCTAAACTGTAGGGAAAGGTGAGTTGACGTCCAAGCTCCTCCCCTTGTCCCCCTTGACAGCCTTCCCAAGAGTCCTACGGTCCCCACACTGTACCCGTCTCATGAAGACCCTGTTCCCATGGCTCCTCCCTCTGTCCCCCAGACAGTCTCTTCTGTGGCCTCAATGTGTGCCTCAAGGTGCAGAGGAAGTCAAGCAGGGCCAGGAGACCCGGTCCCCACACAGGGAATATGCTGTCTCCCCAAGCAGGGCGGCCTGCTCCTGGAGACCAAAGAGGAATAAACCCCAGCAGGGTTTAGCGGTCCTCAGCCCCCACAGTGGAAGCAGCCCAAGCAGGATGCACCAGGGCAGCAGCAGCTCCCTGGGTGCCCAGACAAGTCTATACCCACGCGTGCTGCTCCAGCAAAGCCACACGAGGGGAGGCCAAAAGAGAAGCCCTGCCAAGGTGGACCTCCACAGGTCTATCTGATTCCGTGGAGCCCCAGCCCCGCGCAAGGCGATGCGAGAGGGCCAGCACAAGAGAGGTGGCCAGAAACCTCACTGCCATCTGAGAGATGGCCAGAAGTCTGCCTGCCTCTGCCTCCACTGAGGTAGACCTGAAAGTGTCCACCCACGCTTCCCCGTGACGGGGCAATAAACTAACTCTTGGCGACCTGAGAATGTGTCTGTGTGCGCTCTGGTGGAAGGGAGGGAGCAAGGGAGGGAAGGGGGGGGGAGAAGGGAGGAAGGTGGCATCCTGTTCCCACAGATTGAAATTGGATGGGGGAAGGAGGGGGAGAGAGAGAGGAGAGGAAGAAGGGCAGGGGAAGGCAAGGGAGTTGGGAGGGAGGGAGGAAGGGAACTGGAAGGTGGTGGGGAGGGGAATAGAAATAAAGGGTAAAGAGAGAGGGAGGTGAGAACTGTCTTCCATTCTTTTACATTCCGTCTATAAATTTCCTTTGGATTTAGGTGTATTTCTCGTATGTGGCATATTGCTGGATTTTGCTTCTTAATCCAATATATCAGTCTATTTCTTTGGATTGGTGAATTTAGGCCATTAACATTGATACTTATAATTGATAGATACTGACTCATCCTTGTCATCATGTTTTACTGTTGTTGGCTCTATTAGTTCTTATTTTTTTCCCCTTTCCTTTTAGTGTCTTACCTTTACTGGTGGCTTCCCTCTGTTGGGCCTCATGGAGTGGTGACCTTCATTGTCTAGCTCTAGGATATTGCTTAAAATTCTTTGGAGTGTTGGTTTGACATTCATGAAATTTCTCAGCTGTTCCCTGTTGTGGAAGTATCTAATTTCCCCATTGGTTTTGAAAGCTAATTTTGTAGGATGCAACAGTCTAGGCTGGAAGTTATTTTCTTTCAGGGCTTGAAATACTTGAGTCCAGCCTCTCCTTGGTTTGAGGGTTTGTGTTGAGAAGTCTACCACGATTCTGATGGGCTTTCCTTTGTAGGTAATTTGTTTCTTTTCTCTAACTGCCTGTAGGATTTTTGTTCTTCTGTTGGGTTACTGGGATCTTGACTATTAGAGGCCTAGGTGTCGATTTTTTTGAAATCATGGCTAGGCACCGTTCTATTTGCCTCATTCATCTGTATGTCCATTCTCCACCTCTGTCTGGGAAGTTTTCTACTATTACTTCTGTGAACAGTTTATTTCTGTCAATTGTACTTTTTCTTGTTTTGGTGGACTCCGATCATTCTTATCTTGTTCTTCTTTCCATCGTCTAGCACCTGTTGGATGGATTTCATGTGGTCCCTTAGTATTTGTAAGACATCTCTGTTTTGACGGTCCTTCTCCTCAATCCTGTCTTCTATATCTGATATTCTCTCTTCATATTGCCTTAATCTTCCCGGCATGCTTTCAGTGGAGTTGCGAATATCCTGAATATCTGTTTTAATCCATTTCATGGATTCCATTTCTTTCTTGTGTTGGGTGACCATGGTTTCATTTTCTTTCTTAGGCTGGGCATCCATGGCTTTCAACTTGTTTCTGAGCTCATCTATTTTTTTTATCTGTTTCTCTTCTAGAGCCTCTAATCATGTCTTTCACCCTGCTCACCATTTCTGTAGTTATCTGATAGATTATTACTGTTTGGAATATTTCTAACACCTCATTCATCTCTTCTATTACTTCCTGTGCTATCAGTTCAGGGTGTCCAAGGGGTTGACACTCAGACTGTTCCATATCCTTTCCCCCAGAATTTGCCTCTTGTTGGGTGGATGTCTGAGTGTGTGCCTTACTTAAATGTCTTCTCATTTTTGTTTTTGGTACTGTCCTTGCTTTTGTTCCTGGGTTGATACTTTGTAAGTATCTTGGTTGAAGTATTTAGAACCCTTATGAAATGACTGCTTCTCAGAAGTGTCTTTGATATATACCTGGAGTTTAGGTTTTGAGTCTCTAATGGTTGTGGGGCCTTCTCATTTACATTATACCAGGAAGTAGAACTGAGGAGATCAATCACAACATCTCAGCCCAAGTGATAGAATTAGCAACACAATACAATGAAGTACTTCTTAGCAAATGACAATTCCTGGGAGTTATTAATCTCTCCCCTTTCACTGTGTGATTTAAATCAAAAGGAATGACCAACCCAACATATGTTTCTAGTGAATAAACTCTTCCATATAGCAACTTTATCCTTCAGAATGGGGAAACAGAAAGAGTTGGGGAGGGAGGGATATGTAGGTAGAAGGATAGGGGAAGGTTAGCAGTGAAGCCAGAGGACACAGGTGAGAGAAGAAAAGAGAAGAAATGTAAAACTAAGAAAGAAATATGAATTAGGCCCAGAACGGGAATACAAAGGGAGGTGAAGAACAATGTGGGACAGCAAGGGAGCCTGGGAGAGAGTGAAAGCAAAGAGGAA